TTGTACCACATCTAAGCCGGGCTTAGAAAATCACTATAATGTATAAATATGTTTGTTATTCATTTTTAATCTTGTATATAATTGAAATGTATCTGGTTACATACATCGATAATGCTAGCTGCAGCCAGCAAATTTCAGCCTAAATATACGCTGTTAAAATAACTTGCATATACTGAATATCTGAAAAATAATATAATTACGAAACCGTCTAACCCCGCCCTATGACCTGCCAACTCCGAATCGACACGGATCAAGGACACGCAGTCTGCCTGTTGTCCATTCATGATTAACAGTTTGGCTACATTATTAGACTTTGTCGGATTTAACTCCTCCTTTAGTTCGTTAACCCTTTCACCAGAGGTCTCTTTTCCCTGGCTATAAATAGTCGCTGACCCTTCGCCTCTTCCTCTTTTTCACTTGGGCCGACACCTGGAGGTAAATCTCTCTTTTTTCCTCAGGCTTTCAGCCTTATTACCTCGAAGATGTGAACGCTCAAAGAGATAGCGTTTCCCAAATGCTGGGAACACGCTAAGCACAATACACACACACATATATAAAATTCACACACGCACATATATATAATATTCACACACACACACTTTGTCCTTTGTAACTGTTTCCATGTAACTTGTTATTAATATATATATTTGTATACATATATTATCGGTCTTGTGCTTGTTTTCTTTGCATTCTTTGGACTTAATTAAAGTCCAACCTTTTCATGTAGTTGGACCAGCTAGCAGGAAGATCTGAACCTACGTCTACTCAACAACATCACAGACACGGTCCACTACAACTTCGTACGTTGTGGGTTCCGATAAAACGAAATTTCATAAAACATTTCGATACCTACCAGTTCTTGAAAATTAGAAACGGTCATTGTAAATGAAACATTTCGTGTATATGTTGATAAGATCAAAAAGTAAAATTGCAGGCCTTAACTCGGAGAAAAAATTCATAGAAATACAAATAGTAAATCAGAATGAAACGTTTTGTTCAAATGTTAGTCAGATTAAGAGAAAGTTGGATTGTACGACTTGCAGAATAAATTGATAGAAATAAAAATGAATAGTAAAAATGTTTTCAACAAATTTTGGCTACGCTTAAATATTGGTCTACGACTGAGACATCCAACTCACAGGCCGCACTGCGGACCAATGCACGCACTCTAAAATCTTGTATATATTTATTTCTCCTCTGTAGGTTCTCCACTGCCTTAACCGGATATTGAACTCTCGCTCTTTAGCTCCTGTCACTGGATCTAACCAACGCCTTTATCCAGTGTACCATGTGTCCTCGAGGAGAATTAACAGGAGATAACTGACATCTATTAGACATGGCACATGGAACTAGAACAGTCTACCCCAGCGAGCGAAATAAAGGGTTCAGTTCGACATTCCAACCACCTGAAGAAGGCCGGAGCGTACAACGGCCGAAACGTTGTAATAAATATGGCGACAAAGATGTTGACAATAGTCCGAATAATGTAAATAGTATATATATATATATATATATATATATATATATATATATATATATATATATATATATATGTGTGTGTGTGTCCGTATCGACATTGCTAACTGGTTCTACAGCAAGGCTATGCTCATCTCTGCTTGTGGATGATTCAGATTTGAATCAGTTGGCTGCTAATGCACATGTATATAATTTCTTCCACCTTTCTCTTCATGAGCTTCCTACCTCACTTAACAGTTTCGAAAAGTATTTGAAAGAATTTGTTTATTTTTCCCATTAGTTTATTGGCTACCAAACAAAAATGGTTTCATGGCGCTTTGCCTACTGTGTCAGTAGGCACTGGAAACCTGCTGTCAATTATTACCATGATGAAACAATGTATTTTGATATTTGGGTAACTTCTGTCTGTTCATGTTAGAAATATATATATATATATCCTAATGTAAATCAGTAAGTTTGCAGCTTAATGATGGAACAAAGGCCTTTCAACAAATATATTGTCAACATAATCTTCCTTATCAATGCACTGTATCTCACACACACACACACACATACATACATATATATATATATATATATATATATATATATATATAATTTGGTAATACGTATGGATAATTCCAAAGAGGATCTAATCCAGAGAGCTCAATGTAACAACAAAGCAAATATTAATTAAATAATTAAGAGACAACCATAAGGCTCCATGACTATAATTTATTTCCGCAGTGTGGACCTGGTGTTCACATGTCCACACTGACCCGGGGTAGTAGCACCTGTTAGGGTCCCGGCTATGGGCAAATACTTAACCGCCCCCCCCCAACTCGGGTCAAAACTCTATGAAAGTGTAAAAATAGATTTTAATACCAGAAATATTTTGTAAAAACAAATTATTACGAACAATACATTTTTGAAAAAAAAAAAGTATTAGCAGTGAAGGAAAATTCTTACCGGAAATAGATTTTTGGAGAAAAAAAAATATTACCAACAATGAAAATTTTGTCGGCATTAAATAACCCGTTGAGGTTGATATGCCGTAAACCAAACCAAACGAAACACCTCCTAGAGTAGCTGCCTCACATGTCGCTTATCAGAGTAAAGTGCAATAAAAAATATTTATCTGCCCACAATCTACAAGAATCCTTCAGAAAAATTCTGGTCGAAAACACTAAAATTCTATACTACATACATTTTTCGGACTATTGTTCTCATCTTTGTCGACATATTTATTACAACGTTTCAGCCATTGTACGCTCCGGCCTTCTTCAGGTGATTGGAATGTCCAACTGAACCTTTTATTTCGTTCACTGGGGTAGACTGTTGTAGTTTCAAGTGCCATGTTTAATTGATATCAGTTATCTCCTGTTAATTCCCCTCTCCAAGTTCTCCACTGCCTTAACCGGGTATTGAACTCTCACTCTTTGGGTCCTGTCACTGGATCTAACTAACGCCCTTATCCACTGTGCCATGTGTTCTCATCTCAGAAATATAGACAGATACTAAAATTCTATGTAAATCAATGCACTTGAAAATGACTACAGAAATGACTGAAAGTGCTTGCGACAATGGACAGGGGGAATAGTTTTTATACTTCCTCACTCCCACCCAATGCTAAAATCTAAGAACACTGGAAAAACTAAATGAAAATCACTAAAATTTTCCTAGCCTGTCTTATTTGACAAACAGCAGTGGGGAAAGTGACTGAAGCCAAGATGTCAGGTCCAATAACATTCTCCTCTGTATTTTATCAAGAATATCTAAACTGATTTTAATAAGAGTATTTCCCATCTTTTTGGATCTTTTCTTAAGAACCTGGTTTAAAATGGTTTCGTAGATAATCCTTTTGACGAGCACCTCTATCAATAACTTTTAATAAAAATAAACACAGGCTCACGAGAGATCAGATCTGCCGGCATGTGAACAATGGTATAGATTCTATTTGATAATAATTTGATAATAACATTTAATAAAAATAAACACAGGCTCGCGAGTGGACAATGGGATAGATTCTATTTGATAATAATAATTTGATAACTTTTAATAAAAATAAACACAGGTTCACAAGAGATCAAATCTGCTGGCATGTGAACAATGGGATAGATTCTAATTGATAATTACGTACTGACAACATGATTTATTTGAAGTGTAATTTAATACGAGAAAACATCCCAAGAACTTGAATGCTTCAGCCTGGAACAGTTCCAGATCCTCTTTTGAAGCATTCTGGAGTGTTTGAGAATCTTATTTTTAACACATCCAATTTCAACATTGAAATACTTGGAGGAAAAAAATCATCTTGGGTATGTGATTAAAGATTTTGAGAGTGTGCTAAATTCTTATCTTTACCTAAGCTTTGAATATCCCCCCCTGCAAACAAAATCCAATAAAATAACCGATTTCTTTAGAAGTCGGTGGTTCTTGGTTGATCCGAAAATTTTGCAACTACCTCATGCCGAAGGCAATCTTTATATGACCCTTATTGGAATGATGAGTTTATAAAGGACTATAGAAATTTTACTTTAATAACAATCTGAAATCTTTATAGGTCTATCCCAAGCAACATGATAATGCCATTAAGACACGCGTGGTTAGCGGAAGAGAAAGAAAATTTTTAGTGAGGAGAAAGGACAATAAAAGAAGAGATGTCAGGAAGACAGAAGATGGCGATAATGCCACTAATATGCAAGGGGTTACTGGGAGTGAAAAAGAACGAGAAAACTTGAGTGAGGAGAAAGGACAATAAAAGAACAGATGTCGAGAAAACATAAGATGATAAATAATGCCAATAAGATGCAAGAAGTTACTGGGAGTAAAAAAGAAGTGAGGAAAAAGGACAATAAAAGAACATATGTCAGGAAGATAGAAGATGACAATTAATGTTGCATTTAAATCTTTAACGATCGCAGGTGAGACAGAAGCAAGAAACCGAAGAGTTTCACAGGTGAGAAGTGCGAGAAAAGAAGCTAGTAGAATAGAACTTCCGGTTACATCTAACTATATCAACGAGAAAATGACGTGAAGCAGTACCCAATCTAGTTGTACACTTAAATTCATACAGTTGAGGTACCACAGAGGAAAGCTCTTTAGAACAAATGTCATTCAGAAGTAGGCAAGACACATCATAGAATGGGGAAAGTGACTGAAGTCAAGATGCAATCTAATAAAGCTTTTTAATATTTTTGTTGTAAATTCTCAAGAAGAAAAAAATGTATGAATTCATTTTCATATGTTTAGGTTTTACTACAATTCTGATGATTGCTTTTTAAAACGATAAACGCTGCCGAAGAGTAAAGGTAATTAAAATAAAAAGCAGTGTCATGGGGGAGAGGAAAGGTCGTTTTTGACACTCCATTTAATTGCGAGCATGTTTACTAAAATATCCTTACCATATATGGAAATCTTGTTTAGAACAATAACTTAAAAAAAAAAAAGCTTTCATCTTGTAGTACCATTCTCGGGGTGAATATGATTGTTGCAGAACTCCAAATTTTCAGTCTTCACAAGATGTTAGAAATTCACAGAAAAATATGCATGAGTCTGTTGTTCTGATTCTTGTCAAAATGGGAATACATCTCTCTCTTTTCTTCTTTCCTTTCCTTCCTTTCTTCTTTCCTTCCTTTCTTCTTTCCTTCCTTTCTTCTTTCCTTCCTTTCTTCTTTCCTTCCTTTCTTCTTTCCTTCCTTTCTTCTTTCCTTCTTTCCTTTCTTCTTTCCTTCTTTCCTTTCTTCTTTCCTTCTTTCCTTTCTTCTTTCCTTCTTTCCTTTCTTCTTTCCTTCTTTCCTTTCTTCTTTCCTTCTTTCCTTTCTTCTTTCCTTCTTTCCTTTCTTCTTTCCTTCCTTTCTTCTTCCCCTTCCTTTCTTCTTCCTCTTCCTTTCTTCTTCCCCTTCCTTTCTTCTTCCCCTTCCTTTCTTCTTCCTTTCTTCTTCCCCTTCCTTTCTTCTTCCCTTCCTTTCTTCTTCCCCTTCCTTTCTTCTTCCCCTTCCTTTCTTCCCCTTCTTTACTTTCTCCCTTCCCCTTCTTTTCTTCTTTTACTTTTCTCTTTCCTTCTTTCTTCTTTACTTTCTCCTTTCCCTTCTTTTCTTCTTTACTTTCTCCTTTCCCTTCTTTTCTTCTTTACTTTCTCCTTTCCCTTCTTTTCTTCTTTACTTTCTCCTTTCCCTTCTTTTCTTCTTTACTTTCTCCTTTCCCTTCTTTTCTTCTTTTCTTTCTCCTTTCCCTTCCTTCCTCCTTTCCTTCCTTTTCCAATGACATAAGGTTTTCTTTCTTCCGTCTGAAAGAGCTACTCGTTAATGAAGATACACCCAAAACTGCTACCTACCCCCTCCAGACCCTTGCATAGGTGGAAGATATTGTTTCTGGCATTCTGCTATTTTCTGCGAAACAGTACCGGGTAGGTCTCGGCAGTCAAGTAAGGTATGACATCCACCCACATATGCTCTTTGGAGATGAAACTTTCTTTTTTTTATTACCTAACAGCTTTCATCTTTGGCAGAAGGCGGCATTTTTTAGCTTTATAATTTGTCATTTACGTATACACATGGTTGCTTTGAGGGTTGGATGTTTTTTGGTTCATCTAGTACATATTGGACTGGCTTTTATGGTTTCTCTGTCAAAGATACCCTTTTTAGTAGTCATCTTGGTATAAATATGCTTGCTTAGAGGACTGCTTAGAGCTGATAAAAATGTTTTTTGATTGGTTTTCGTTTGTTGTTTATATTTAGTTTTTGTTTGATTTTTGTTTTGTTTTTTCTTGTTTTGGTCATTATTTTTTTTTTTTTTTGGTTTTTTTATGTTTTTTTGGGTTTTTTATGTTTTTTTGGTTTTTTTATGTTTTTTTGGTTTTTTATGTTTTTTTGGTTTTTTGTTTGTTTTTTTGTTTTTATTTTTATGCTTTATTTTTGTTTTATGTTTTTTATTTTTGTTTTTTGTTATGTTTTGTTTTTTTTTGTTCTGATTAATGTTTATTTTCTTTAAACTAATTTTTATAAACAAGATTGGGTTTAGGCGTTATTTTCACATTTGAAAATATTTCATTTTCTTATTTTACTAACCTTGCCATTTTGGTGAGTTAAAATGATTAACAAATCATATTTGAATAAGGCGGGAAACGATCCCCTTGATAAACCATACTGTGGGTTTATCCAAGTCAAATATTCAGGAACTGTCGATGTTATCACACATCATAAAACTTTAATTCTCTGGTTAATTTGCAATGGGAATTTGCTCCAAAGAGTGTCTAAATGTTGCAAGATTTCAAAACAAAAAATATGATGCTTTTAAAACTTCAACTCATTGAATGGATGTTATAAGATGAGTGTCATAAATAAAATTGAATACATTAACCCATTCACTGCTACCTTCGATATTTGCACAGTTAGGTTATATATCCTCTGAATGAGTGGGCAGAGTAATTCTCAGAGAGTCTCTCTACAAAACTCTGGAGTCAGCTGATAGATGTTACCTTTAGCATCCTGAGTGCCAAACCTTCTACTTCTATTAATTATATTTTAGGATATTACAACAAAAATATATAAGAATCGCCACACAATTGCAGTTGTTTTTCAACACATAACAATGTGTCTCCTCAGGCGATTGTATATTACTGGTGAGTAAACGATTCTTGAAAAAAAAATATAAGGCTTAATGGCTTTACACTGATAGCCAATCGAATATGACCTACATTAAATTGAAACTAAGCAAAAAAGAAGAAAAAAAAATTAGAAATTATCTTAGAAATGTGTCATGGCCAAGAGTTGATATCTAACAGCAGCCAGGCTTTAACTGAAAGACTGATACAAATGGCTACAATAAATGTACACATGCCAGACAATCAATTTTCATAAAAAAAATAAAGGCGTGACTGCTCTACTACGTATTGATCCGTCTTTTAAATTAAATGTTGTGAATGTTGAAAGTGTAATCTATCATCATGCCTGGTATTCGTACTGTATGTGTGTGCGTTTGCGCCCATCTGTGCGTATGTGTAGAGTGTCGTGATTATCTGTCCTTTTGTTCGTTTCCCTCTTTACACTCTTCTCTGTTTTTCCTTTTCCTCTTTTCGTTCAGTTGTAACCATTTGTTGTCAATTACCACTTCTGACCTCTAGACGTGCCACTGTTTTTGATTTTTGATTTTTTTCAAGGTATCCTGTATTTATGGGTAAAAAAATGCTCAACATTAGGGATGGAGCATATGTAAATTTGAAAGTGGACACTTCATTTTATATGTATACCTCCTTCTTAGAATTGAGCACTCTGACTGCTAGTCTAGCGTTAATATATATCACGTATATAATACGTTAAAATATTCCCTTTTCTCTGGTGTGTGTCGATGGCTTAGTCTTTGACTGATGCCGAATCTGTCAAACTTCAATCCCAGCATGTCTAGCTACACTGAACTGTGATACAGCAAAACAGTCTATCTATTTCACTATATATATATATATATATATAAATAGAGAAGCCAGAAACGTTTTTGGTTATAATGTGGTTTTGTTTTAGTATATATATTTTATTTTTCAAATTTGGCTGCACGGGTTTCCGGTCTTGTGACCTTCTTCAGGCAAATTAAAGGAATCAATTTTTAAGGAATAAAATTTCCGTATATTCTTTTTATACTTTATCGTTCATTTTCTGTATTTGTAGTGAGCTTTCATCTCATTTTTTTCTACAGTTGGCAAAAGTGACTTTCTGCCTAAATAACCCGTATAGTGATCTGAATTGAAAAATAGTATAGTGAACAGAATAGCGATCCGTATAGTAATAGAGAATAGTGTAGAAATAGAGATCCGTATAGTACAGAGCAGGGGTCGGCAACTCATTCGACCCCCACGGGCCGGATCGTGTTATAATGACGCGGGCCGGACGAAGGACATTGATGAAAAATTAAGGAAAATTACATATGCAGACCCCCTGTCAATCTAAATATTTAAAACCATAATGAAAATAAACATTGGGAAATCAGAAAAACAAAAGAAAATCTAAAATTAAAAAAACACCTAATAAAAATTACTTTTCCTCAAGGAACATCAAAATACTTCAAAGTGAAAAAAAATCAACCGAAGTGAAATGGATGAAATTATGACTTGTAGGTTTGAAACTGTTATTGAAAATTGTTCCACAAACGAACCACACACACACACACACACACACACATATCAAACAAAAACGAAGCATATATACCCATACATGCGAGTACAAATAGTTGCAAACAGATACACTTACGTACGTACACATGCGGTATCATCCGCGTATGTTTAACTGTCTAAAGACAGTTAAACATACGCGCATTATACATTCTTGAGGCATGTATGTATAATGCGCGTATGTTTAACTGTCTTTAGATTTCTGCTACCTCGCATGTCAGTCCCTCCCTGGCCTCTTTCACTTTATCGTTCCTTTCGCTTCTTTTATCTTTTAATGTAGCCAAGGGTCATAACAAATATGTATCCATTATTTGACATTAAACGTAGGCAACGCAACTTGTTAAAATAAGTCTCATGAAAGATAACTGGCAGATAGTCTAATATTTTTAGTGCACTGAGATGTGTGTAGACATTCTATGGAAAATGACATATAACAAATTTAATTTGAAGGTCGTCTCTCATGTTAAAAATAGTCATTGGTAATCAAGCTCGCGGGCCGGATCCGGTCTGCCGGCCGTAGGTTGCCGACCCTTGGTATAGAGGATAGACTAGGAATGGTGATTCAAATAGTAATAGAGATCCGAATAGTAATAGAGGATAGAATAGAAAGAATGATCAATTAGACACACGCTACCTCCCATATATATGTTTCCTCTATGGTCACATGGTCTACTTAATTCAATAATGGGATTGCCTGTGTTTACTCACTGGCGATCTATGTTCAAAGTCAAGTGTCGGCAGCTACACTTTATTCCTAAATAACACATAAAGTGTCTTTAAAATCTTAACCCGTTTTGCCTAATCTATCTTGCAGGTTAATGGTAATCTTCAGGCTGGGAGATTTTAAACATTAGGTAAAGCCCTCTCGAGAAAAAAAAAATGAACGCAATGAAATAATGGGTTAGCAACGTAGCTTAGTAGGAATTAGTTAAAACGAAGAAGGGATAAAACTTATTAATTATTAAATCCAGAAGGTAGCCCCAAATATTTAACCTATAAAATATAATAGACTCTCCTGTCGTTTTCGACTTTGGAGTGTCTTTCAGTTTTGTTTTTATATTTTGTTTCGTATGAAACAACAATCCTGCACAGGACTTGCAAACAAGTCCACATTAGAAACATGCTGATGGGTTGAACTGAACTGCAGATTCCCCATACAGAAGATTTGTTTAGAGTGGTGAAGGCGTGTGTAGAACCAGCCACATTTTTGGAAGTGCTGATAAGAAGGAATTGGTGCAAATATTTGCAACGAACACAATGAACCACACCCCTCAGGTTCTGTTATACTAGTGAAAGGAAGTGTGCAGCGCCTTTCGACGGACCGTGACCAGACATTTGAAGGGTTTTGATAATTTGAGTTTTCCTTCTCATTTTTATGTAGGTTGGTGGCACGGGAGCACCATAGATTTTCTTTGCTCAGATTTCGAAGAATCTCAACACCATATATATATATATATATATATATGATATCGTACATTGAATGCTAGTGTTAATAAAATAGTGCTCGATGTAATATAACAGAGCTATTAAGTATATGTTAATAAATATACATTTTTTTCCTCACCGATAACACGACTCTGAGTTTCATTCACAACGCAATCTTTGGTCACTTCGAAGTGATATAATGGTTAGCAAGCTCGTCTTGTTAGAACAATTACGACTGAGTAGTGAGTTGGATCCTATACTTTCGGCCTTGTGACACATCTAAGCTACTCAAAAAAACCCCATCACAACGTAATCATCAGATTCAGTGATACTGATCGTTATATTTTTTAAATTTTAAAAATATTTGGTTAAAGAAATGCTGGCGCGGACCATATGTTATATGGAGATTTTTGTTTTATTTTTATTTAATATATATATAATATATATATATATATATATATATATATATATATATATATATATATATATATATATATATTTTTAGATGTTAACTATATTTATGGGATAAAGTACTCAATATCAGGGATAGAGCGTATGTAAACATAAATATAAAGTGAACATTGAAGTCAACACTCAGAGGTCACAGGTTGTTTCATGCTAGGCGCAATCGTCAGGCCTGACGATTGCCCCTAACATGAAACCGCCTCTCGCCTCTAAGTCTCTTCAATGTTCACTTTCATGTTGTGTGTGTATATGTATATATATATATATATATATATATATATATATATATATATATATATATATATATATATATATAGGAGGATTTGAGAGAATCATAATTAAGTAATTCATCGAGTCTAGAAGAAACTTCAACAGAATGCAGAAAGCACTGGACGGCCGTTTCGTGCTATATTTCGGACTCATAAGCAGTGCGCATCCACTACCGAGAATTGAAACCCGAACAGTTACGATAGGAGGCAAATGCCATACCAACTGTACCTCGGTGACGAAGAGGTAACGTATTAGACTCGATACATACCACGGAATATGTGATCGATCGTCGCTATATCGAGTCTAATTCGTTACCTCTTCATCACCGAGGCCCGTATATATGTATATTTAGCCGACGCGTTTCGCCCTCTAATGGACTTTGTCAAGGTAGATGCTAAATGTTTCGTAACAAGTATTTATTGCTTAACACATAGAGATGGAATTCTAATTCCGTTCCCTCTATTGTTGGCTTTGCAGAGGTGGGATTCTTTGACAGCATTTTCCATCATGGCAGTCACTTGTAATTATAAAATCATGGTTGATAAATCGTAAAAAAAAAAAACAAACAAATCAATCAATTCATGTTCGAAATATCGCATGATATTTTAGTTACATTTCTATGTCACTATGGTTTACATTCTAAGAAGTTATATGGTCTGCTGTCATCAGATTTGGTTCTGTAATAGGATACTGAGAATATCATGGACATAGCATGTAAGAACCAAGGAAGCTTTAAAGAATACGGAAACAAAAAGGACACTTGTACATAGAAATTCTAGCTATCACTTTCTGATTCTAAGGAAAGAAGGCCAGGAAAATTTTACACTCAAAGGACGTACTGAAAGCGAGAATGACAGAGAGAAGTAGCGAATAACCTACCCGAGGAGTTTGGGTAAATTGATGGCAGAAGAACTAGGAGGAATAGTAAAAAGACAAACATTGCTAAGAGCTGCAAAGAATAGGAAGTCATGGAGAGTCATGATCGCCCACGTTCTGAATTGATATTTGTATAGTAAGAGAGGGATAGTAAAAAAAGACAGACATTGCTACGAGTTGCAAAGGATAGGAAGTCGTGGAGAGTCATGATCGCCCACGTCCCGAATTGATATCTGGATAGTAAGAGGGATAGTAAAAAGACAAACCTTGCTAAAAACGACAAAGGAGAGGAAACTGTGGAGAGCCATGATCCTAAAGAGATACAACACATAGGAGAATAATGGGTATTCACGTCAGAAAATTGCGAGTGGTGAAACAATGAAAATATTCTTGGGGCAAGTTAAAAATCTTAACACCATTCCTTAGCCCAGAAGCAAAAACTGTCCGTCACCTCTGTAATTCTTTTGGGGCAGGGTTGAGCCGATTACTATCACTAAAATCATAGATTTAAGATTATACAGTAACTCGTGTAACCCTAGCCTATTTGCGATATATTAACGGGTTTGTTCACTTCTGTTTTGGCACATGTGATGTACACAAGGCTTTATTCTTTCTCTTGACAACACCAGATATCTTGTTGCAAGTTAATATACTACTAAACGGATTCAATGATCACGTAACTACACATCATACACACAAGATGCAGGAAAAATGGTTGGTTTCCTGTTCTGCTTCAGTAAGTACCTGACTCTAACTGCTATCCTTTAACTAATATCCCAAACGATCATAAGTTCTGTTGATTTTTTTTTATGATCATTCGTGGGGATTTTAGCTTTTTCAGCACGTGGTGCAGTTGAATGTTGACATGTCATATATATATATATATATATATATAATATTATATTATATTATATATATATATATAATAATATATTATATTATATATATATATATATATATATATATATATATATATTATATTATATATATATATATATATATAATATAATATTATATTATATTATATTATATATATATATATATATATTATATTATATTATATATATATAATATTATATTATATTATATATTATATTATATTATATATAATATTATATTATATTATATATTATATTATATTATATATAATATTATATATTATATTATATTATATATTATATTATATTATATATTATATTATATTATATATAATATTATATTATATTTATATTATATATATTATATAATATATGTATGTTATATATTATATAGTGCCGGTTATCGATCCGTTGGTGTATAATCCGGGCGGATTCTAGTAATATTAATTATTAAAACTGATCCACAGAATGCTCTCCGTCCTGGGTAAGAAGTTAAACTACGTCCAGCAGCAAGGTGCCAGGATTAAGCAAAAGGACATTAAGTGTTCAATATTGATCACAGAATCTATATATTATTGTTTTTTGTCGCAAATTTATGTAGTCAATAGAAATTCTGTTCTTGAGGCACGGTGTCAAGTAAATGATGGCAGATTTCTGGCGATCCACAATCTTCATCTCAATTCCAATTCTCCCTAAATGTTTTTTATTTTTTTTGTTTTGTTTTTTTTTTGTTTTTGTTTTTTCTATTTAGTTTTTTCTTTTCTTTTTTCTTTTTCCTTTTTTTCTTTTTCCTTTTTTCTTTTTCCTTTTTTTTTCTTCTTTTTCCTTTTTTTTTCTTTTTTTTCCTTTTTCCTTTTTTTTTTCCTTTTTTCTTTTTCTTTTTCCTTTTTTCTTTTTCTTTTTTCTTTTTCTTTTTTTTTTTTTTTCTTTTCTTTTCTTTTTTCTTTTCTTTTTTCTTTTCATCTTTTTTCTTTTATCTTTTTTCCTTCATCTTTTTTCTTCATCTTTTTTCTTTTTTCTTTTTTCTTCTTCTTTTTTCTTCATCTTTTTTCTTTTTTCTTCTTTTTTCTTCATCTTTTTTCTTTTTTCTTCTTTTTTCTTTTTCTTTTTTTAAGTGATGAATGATAAGAATAAGACACAAACATATGAAATTGAATTTATACATTTTTTTTTTTTTTTTTTTTTTCAAGATTTTGAATTGGAAAATTAAATCAAGATGCCGCCTGAAATATGAAATAATCTGAGAAGAAAATGTATTATGTCCAGAAAAATCATGTTTGTTTAAATTTTCTTGTTCTATAGTTCAGTGGGTGGGTCTTAGAACAACAGCAATTAATAGGTGCTTCCACTCTCCACAAAATCTCCAATCACCCAATCAGTTAACTTGCTGCCAGATTTAGTTCATCATCATACCCAGGACTATTTATGATGATGGGAGTAGAAGTGTATGAAATCATTGACAGACATGGACCATTTTGTCTGCAAAAAGTAGTGTTTCAAAAGGGACGGTTTTTACATTAACACCGCTATTATTTTAATTGCATTCCTTCCCTCGGTAATGTTTATTTGCCTTTTTATAAAGATTTATTATTTACCATTTGTCAAAATAAATTTGAAAAGATTTTTTTTATTCAAAACTTTACAAAATGATCAAAATATATCAACCAGCGAGGGATTGGATTCATGATTACAATGTGATATAGTCAATGTGAGTTCAATCTCTGGGTCGGGCAGTGGAAACGGAGCAAGCAGTAAGTGAGCAGTATTAAAAATAAGAACTAGACGAGACTACACACTGCCCAGTTCAGGGATTGAACTCATAATTACTGTGTCACCAAATTCACGAAGCAACGTTTTAATCCACTAGGCTATTGGCCCGTAGGAGACTTAATGCTAATCTACCTGCCTGCTTGCTAGTGTGTTTAATTGTGTATCACAATTTGTGTGTGTCTGCCTATCAATAATTTTCTTTTATGTCTACTGACCTATAAAAAATTTTTACGCGTGGAACTAAAACAATCTACCCCGGCGGACGAAATAAAGGGTTCAGTTCGAAATTCAAATCACCTGAAGAATGCCGGAGCGTGAAACAGCCGAAACGTTGTGCGTATGGCAATGAAGATGAGGATAAATGCAAGTAATCAGAATACCTCATCTCAGAGATATAGAGGCGAAAACATTGTGTGTATGACAATGAAGATGAGGATGTCGGAATAATATAAATAATGCATGTAATAAACTAGACTGTAATATCCACTGCCATTTTACAAGGTACACCTTAAGCAAAACTAGAAGCAAACACTGAGTGACCTGTTAAATTCTTCGCAGACCTTAGCGTGCAAAACAGACATATGAAAAGAACTTGGTGAAATATTCGACTGTACAGTGACCTTACGACCACACTCGTTCATGGGACTGATGATGAATTATACAGGGTGTAACAGAAACGACTCCCACATAATAGTAAGACATTAGCTAGATGGCGACCCCATTGCCACTAATGTCTTACCATTTGTGGGAAGTCTATTTGCCGCACTTTGTATTTTCCACTTTTTTCCGACATTTCTTATCAATTGATTCCACACAAACGAGGGGTTTTTTTTCTCGTCGTTGTTTGTGGACTGTTGGATACAATTTTGTTATTTATAGGCATTGAAGATTATCTTGTGTTTCTGGTTACAAGAAAAATGCCACAAAACATTTTAAAGAAAAAGGAAGAGAAAAAAATCCTTCTTTAAACATGAGACAAAGAATAGTCTGTCCTTGCTTATAAAGTAATTGTTTTTCGTCAAACTCTCACCCGACTTTTCCCTGCCATTGCAGGCTTTTAAACAATAGCTTCCTTATATTGCTTAATGCTAGAGTTAATCTGGGAAGCCCCTAGTCAACCATTGGCATGTGATTGGCGGGTATTAGGTTCAAGGTCTTCCGGCTGACCTTCAACATGACAATGAAAATCACTCACCAGACATTGTGTTCTCTTATCTCATATGCTCTCCATTTCCAACATTTCTTTCTCCCGCTTCCTCCCTTCCTCTCCTCCTCCTCTTTCCCCGCTTCCTCCCTTCCTCTCCTCCTCCTCTTTCCCGCTTCCTCTCCTCCTCCTCTTTCCCCGCTTCCTCCTTCCTCTCCTCCTCCTCTTTCCCCTTCCTCCTTCCTCTCCTCCTCCTCTTTCCCCCCTTCCTTCCTCCCTTCCTCTCCTCCCTTCCTCTCCCCCTCCTCCTCCCTTCCTCTCCTCCTCCTCTTTCCCGCTTCCTCTCCTCCTCCTCTTTCCCGCTTCCTCCCTTCCTCTCCTCCTCCTCTCTTTCCCGCTTCCTCCCTCCTCCTCCTCCTCTCTTTCCCGCTTCCTCTTTCCCCTCCGCCTCTCTTTCCCCTCCGCTTCTCTTTCCCGCCTTCTTCTCTCTTTCCCCTCCGCCTCTCTTTCTCCCGCCTTCTTCTCTCTCTCCCCTCCGTCTCTCTTTCTCCCGCCTTCTTCTCTCTCACTCCTCCTCTTTCTTCTCTCTCTTTCCTCTCAAAAAATATTCCTTCCTCTCAAAAATACCCTCTTGTTTGATAATGCAGTCTACTCGGGTCTCTGATCGAGGCTGTTCTCAAGTATTCAGATATGACCTTCAAGTCTTTCAATGTCTGTCTCATTCTTCAAACAAAAACAAAAAAAAGAATTCTCTAAAACCACCCGGTCACAATGGCCCCAACTATTCCCGCTCATGAACCGATAAACAGAGCATCATCGCCTATGGGACATCCCCCATTGTTTCAGATTAGGCAATTGTCAAGTAGCAGAATATTTTACGGAATCTCATCTTAATTCCCCATAAAAAATATCTACATGTTAACATCCCCAATTGATTAACATAAGACATGAGGCGTGCCTGGCACTTATTGTCTTTATGTAAAGCTTATTGGATGGTATCAGGATGTGCGGGTGGTGTAATGGATAGTTGCTCGGGGTGAAATATCGGAGAGCCGAGTTCGAATTCCAGGCGTGTTTCTTAAATCTACTTACGTGCAAATAGCCAACTGAGGTTAAATAGGACTTCTATCTGTTAATGCTATATACACTAGCAAAACAAAGACAGGCTTTACAATATAAAATGTGCCGGCTTTAAATGACAGAAAATGGGTTGATAAACTGTAAAAAAAAAATTAATCTTTTAAAAAGTATAGCGGCATAGTAACCATTTGCATGGTATTTAATGCCGAAATCTACAAGACAAAGAACAATGTTCCCTATAAGACAGTGTCCACTGTCCGCGAAGAATCAGAGAGACTGAGAACGCGTTAAAAAGAAAAAACGCCCGTTTGACTGTTCACCTCCTCCCCCTCATAACCGCCTCATCTCAGCTTCGCTTGACACTTGCCTTAATCTACTCACTACTAATTGGTCTAGGGAAACAAGCTTGTTAACCATTACACCACCTCGAGCTGCCCCTCTGGCCGAAGGGTTATATTTAAGCTACAAGTGTTTGCTGAGAACTATATCTGGGCATGAAACTTCAGTGTGAGTATTCATGTCTCTTTCATTATCGAGTATCCTCTCTGGCATATGATTATGCCATTTTTTAACTTTAAACCTTTGAGTCATGCGTTCCTGAACAATTTTAACCCTTCTGATTGAGCTCCTAATTCAAAAATCGCAAATAATTGGTATGTCATGTTTCACGGTAGATATTAAAAAAAAAAAAAGTTACAAGTGTTCACCCACCGTTTAACAGTGATTTTTAAAAGTCATTTTCCTCTACCACTGTTCAACAGTGGCCGGGCATTAAGTCATTTTCCTCTACCACTGTTCAACTGGTGCCTGTGCCTTACGTCAATTTTCTCTACCGCCGGTAAAGCGGTGGTCAGGGATCAAAGGATTAAGATCTAAATCCGGCACCGAATACAATCTCTTTCCATGCAAGTTGTATTTGCAAATATCATTGTTTTATTATTGTTTTATTTGATTATCTTTTATAGACACGGAGGCGGGGTAAAATCAGTAAACTATTACCCCAGGGTTTTTTGTTTTTTAACCTTTTGAGCCTCGCGTTTCTAAACAAGTTGAACCCTTCTGCCTGAGCTCCTGAGTCAAAATTCGCAAATAATTGGTATGTAATGTTTCACGGTAAATATAATAATAGTTACAAAAAATATAAGCATTATACTTAGAGAGAGAGAGATAGAGAGAGAGAGATAGAGAGATAGAGAGATTGCATGCCTTCACTTAATTGCCAGAATTCTATCTTTGTCTACCAGTCTACCAAGAATGTGCTGCACAAGAATAGCAAAACACGACGTAAGTGTTTAGCCACCGTTCAACCGGTAGCTGAGGATTAAGTCATCATTCTCTACCACCGGTAAAGCGGTAGACAGGGCTCAACAGGGTTAAAGCAAGTTTCTAACATAAAAACACAGCCACTTTGTCTCCATATTTATTTTATTTTGTTTTCATAATCAGTTCACCCCAAGCAAGGCGATAATGCCACTTAGACGCAAGGGACTTCTGGGAGGGAGAGAGAATAAGAAGACTTTAGGAAACCCAAACAGAAAACAAACGATAAACCCCTACTCTTGTTCAAAAGACCTGGGAGGAGTGTGAACCGGACGATAGGCGAATCTATCTACTCCGATTGAAGGAAAAGAAATAAATAAAATTTCGGCGTTTAGGCGAAGACGTTAGAAATTTAGTTGAAGTAGATTTTAGAAGGCAATGAAAGTTCAGGGACGATTTAACTGGTGCAATCTGTTCACTTTGGATGATAAGAAAATATGCACCTCTCCATCCCATAATTTGCAGGTGCGAAAGAAAAGCTTTTTCTATAGGTGCGTATGTTGCTTTTGAATTTTGTTCCCTTGCTGATTGTGGGTAATTCAATTCTCCCGTCGTTTGCAATGACTGAAATGGATTAGAGTACTTGCTTTCATCCAGTCCTCCGGTCTATCAACTGAGCTGTTGCTAGTGATCTCTTATTCTCACAGTCTTATTATTACGTACGCCGTCACGCCAATTATGTGTCTTTCCTCGTCTTCCTCCCAGACTTGCTATTTATGCCCGCGTCTGCAACTAAAATTTGCATACGAGACTTAATTCTCGTTCGCCCGAGACTTCTGGTTTTATAAATTCAAGCTTGTTTGAATTCCTAGTCTTTTTTTCCTTTGTACGTCTGCTCGCGATATGGGAATTTCCGAATATTCCATTTCTCTTTTAATGCCTGTCGCGATCTTTCAACAGGACCTGACACGCCATGCAAATTCGCTTTGCGGGAGATAAGTCTACTCGTTCCTCACACTCATTTTAGAAAGAATCTTTCAGAATGCAGCAAGGGGAGGAACGGTAGGAATCACATTAGAAACCATATATAGAGATTAGTTTTTTAAAAAATGATTCGATTAGGAATAAAATCATTTTTTTTTTTTTTTAAATTCAATTCAAATTGTTAAAGCAAAACAATATAGATAAGATTTTAAAACTGACTATAATTTTCTATTGTTATTTGCCGTGGAAAAGGCGATAGTTTAGCGACAGGTTTATGACTTTTCGTCTGCGTGGGTGGAGACTGGTTGGTGGGAAATGTCATCAGCCACAAGACAGCGTAAATAACTTTAAATTCTTTCAAGTCTCAAAAGGCTGGATTAGCTTTAGACGCCCAGTACGTTTCTGATTGCTAACAAACAGGCACTATGCAACGTATAAAAAAAACAAAACTTTCAACCAATGGGAACAATTCTCTGTCATTGTTATTAACACTCCGGTCATATTAAACACAATTTGTATCTTCTTATAATTCCATACTCTCTTGATTTCGCGATTTAAGTCTTTATAATTCTCCGTCTTCTGTCCTTTCTCGACTAGTCTGGTATCAAACGGATAATCAATTTCAATAAAATAAAAAGATCTTTCCTGGGACCAAATTAGTATCATATTCATTGTCCAGACCAGTCAAGGCCGGCTAATTAACAGCAAGTCTCCTCAAAACTCCAGAACTCTCCGCAGTATCGTAGCAGTTTCCAGTAATATCGTAGTATTTTTTTTTTTTTTCCAATTTTTCATCTGTAGTTCTATTTGCAGCTCTTCCAAGCATTTTCTTATGCCATTTCAGGATCGTTTCCAGTGTTCCATTAACAACTGGCATCACTTGAAGAAGATTTTAAACGGCAATCATCTTACTTTCATATCTGTTGAAACTGCAAAATCAATTGTCTGACATTGTTATTGTTGATTTCTGTGTGAATTTCCGGGATAAGGGACTTATCATTATTTACATTATTTATATTCAGACGATTGTCCTCATCTTTGTTGTTTTTATCACCTGATTGCCTTCTGTCTGAATTTCTGGGATGAGGAGTTATCATTATTTACACTATTTATATTTAGACGATTGTCCTCATCTTTGAAAGGTAAGCTTAAATATTAATGCAATACTTAAATGCAGTGATCAATTTTGAGTTCTATTGTTGCTTGTCGCATACTGCAGCAGTATGCCTAGCGAAAAGAAATCTCCGCCAACAGAGAACCAGATTGCAATCAAAAGAGTCAAAGCTGCAGCAAATGAAGACCCAGATCAAACGGCCGCTAGGAAGGTTTTCAATGTTTGTTCAGGAGTACGAGTCCTTAAATCTTTGCATATTCTCAATATGCCAAGACTTAGGGACTCTTATGCAAGTCAAAGCCCCAACGAAGAACCCTCCGTAGGAGCTAGCTTAAATGCCGCCAGATAGGCATTTTTTTATTTGTAGTTCTTAATCACTGGTCTATTAGTTTGTATCTATCTGTCCGTATGAATGGGGGGGGGAATCCCACTCATTCGTGACTGTCATGGCTTTGTCTAGGGGGATCGTAACATTTTTAGCACATGTCTCGTACATAGTCGATCTTATGTCGGGTTTTCTATTTTTTTCAGGATTAAACAAAAGGACACTAAGTGTTCAATAGTCTTGACGTATTATTCACAGAATCTGGGCACTTCAACGTGATGTAATGGCCAACAAGCTTGCTTCACTCGGCCTATTACGACTGAATAGTGAGTTCGATCCTCACTGAGTGCTCCACACTTTCAGCCTTGGGCCACATCTAAGCTACGCTCAGAAAATCATGACGGCACCTCGAGGCGGTGTAATGGTTAACAAGCTTGTCTCGCTAGAACTATTACGACTGAGTAGTGAGTTCGATCCTCACTGGGTGCCTACTACATTCGTGCGCCACATCTAAGCTAGGCTTGGAAAATCACTATAGGTCACAGAATCTACATATTTTCGCAAATTGACGTTCTTAGGACATGGTATCAACAATACTACTCACAACTCGAGAACTTTTCAAAGAATCCTCACAGAGTAAATGATAGTTTGTTGAAGGTCTACAAACATGGTCTCAATTCCAGTTCGCCCTAAACGGTGTTTTCAATCTTCTGTCCCAAGCGGACCCATTACTGTATTTTCCGGGCTATAACGGGCGACTTTTTTCTCGAAATATGTAGGGTGCGTGTTATATATGAATTGTGTCTTCGAACCTTCAGTGGCTGGGGTTAGGGGAGCAAAAACCGGTCGCCAGCTTCGAGCTAGTTATGTCTAGATAGTTGAATTTATAGGAGCGCGGGTTATATACAGGTGCGGAAAATACGGTAAACAGTATTAATTACATTTACCGGATAGCATGTTAGGGAAATTTCGTAAAAAAAAAAAATATGCGCTTCTCCGAGAGGAATCGAACCTGTAACCCTAATGGAACTCGTCATTTGATCTGACGTGCTGTTAACCATTCAGCTACAAAGAAGCGTCTGGTTAGTAAAAATTTAAATTACTGTTTGTGGCTGAATGATTTATAATACTTCAGATCAAATGACCATTAAGATTAAAGGTTCGATTCCTATCAGAGAGCGCCTATTTTCTACGAAATTTACTTAAATAAATTACAGGGTGTTTCAAAAAATTTGATATCCTTTGAGATGTAAATATCACAGAAAGTACATGATTAAGGCAAATGAAATTAAAAAGTATTAATGTTGAAGATCATAAGATTTATTCTTCCAAATCTGAATGAGAAATTCAAAAGCATGTGGATTATGTGAACAGACAAAACGCCTTTTCTCTTCTAGTAAATAGCATTTTTATACCTGTAAAGAAAAAGATTAAAGATTAAAGAACATAAAAATACAAATAAGAAAAACACAAAAACATAAAGACATAAAAACATAAAACAAACATTAAACATAAAGATGCTATTAAAAATTGAAGTCATTTGAAGGAGATCTAACAAAGTTATTGAATTGCGAAATGATATCAAATTTTTTGAAACAACCTGTATATCTATACAAATAATGTATAAACAGTATATATGGTAAAATATTTTTTTTCGTTTTTTTTTTTTTTTTTATCACCGCGAGTAAATATCAAGTAGCGTATTTTCCGGACTATAACCGGCAACTTTATTCTCGAAATATGTAGGGTGCGGGTTATATATGAATTATCTTCGAACTTTGAGTTGCCGGGATTAGAGGAACATAGCTTCACAAAAACCTGTCGAGCTAATTATGTCTAGATAGTTGAATTTATAGGAGTGCGAGTTATATACAGGTGCGGACTATAGTGCGAAAAATACGGTACTACAAGAATTAGTTCGAGATTCCTGTTCCATTGCTTCTTTAGGTCCTGGTATTTTTAGTTTCTTTGGTGTCCACTATTGTGTCAAATCGGAACTACAAAGTCAATAGTTTGACACTTACCATTCTACTTATCTATTATAATAAACTCAAGTAATCGTGCTTCAATGATATGATTTTTGTTTACTGAGAAATCCCAAAATATCTTGGGATTAATTATTATTTACCTATTCAGTCTAGTGGTTATCGCTGTAGATACGGTGATATTTCCTTTCAGCTTTTGATTTTAAATCCTTTTCACGACTTTTCATAGTTGTGAATCGATTATCGGGAAGAAAGGGATTGTCAGTGGTCAGGAATGAATGCAAGTATTACTGCTAAAACCAGTCATATTAAATGTATAATGTAAATGCATTGCTAATGATTTTACAATAGAAATGCATTGAAAATGAGGAAGAAAGGGATTGTCAGTGGTCAGGAATGAATGCAAATATTACTAATAGAATATGGCTATTATATGTATAATGCATTACTAATGATTTTACCATAGGAATGCATTGAAAATGAGGAAGAAAGGGATTGTCAGTGGTCAGGAATGAATGCAAGCATTACTGATAGAATAGGGCTATTATATGTATAATGTAAATGCATTGCTAATGATTTTACTATAGGAATGCATTGAAAATGAGGAAGAAAGGGATTGTCAGTGGTCAGGAATGAATGCAAGCATTACTGATAGAATAGGGCTATTATATGTATAATGTAAATGCATTGCCAATGATTTTACTATAGGAATGCATTGAAAATGAGGAAGAAAGGGATTGTCAGGGGTCAGGAATGATTGCAAGTATTACAGTCAGAGTTACGGTGAGCAGAATATGAGCAAATTGCTAACGATTCTTCTATAATAACCTGATGGAAACGAGGAGAGAAAAAATGATTGTTGATAATGTCAACTGACTAAAAAAAAGCATATCAGCTGCATTTCACACAAGTGACCGATTTCTAGAATGGTCTCTTCTGCATGTTTTCCTTTTAGATTTATTTTTTCTTTCTTTCTTTCTGGGTTCTGTCTTTTCCTATCATCGACTGCGCAGGTATTTATAAAAAAAAAAGTCCTACGTGACTCTCTTGCCTGATATCTGGCATTCTCACTCTCTCTTTTTCTTTCTCACTCTCTCTTTTTCTTTCTCACTCTCTCTTTTTCTTTCTCACTCTCTCTTTTTCTTTCTCACTCTCTCTTTTTCTTTCTCACTCTCTCTTTTTCTTTCTCACTCACTCTTTTTCTTTCTCACTCACTCTTTCTCCTCTCTTTCTCCTCTCTTTCTCTTTCTCCTCTCTTTCTCTTTCTCCTCTCTTTCTCTTTCTCCTCTCTTTCTCTTTCTCTTTCTCCTCCTCTTTTCCTCTTTTTTCTTTCTCTTTCTCCTCCTCTTTTTCTTTCTCTTTCTCACTCACTCTTTTCTTTCTCTTTCTCACTCTCTCTTTTTCTTTCTCTTTCTCCTCTCTTTTTCTTTCTCTTTCTCCTCTCTTTTTCTTTCTCTTTCTCCTCTCTTTTTCTTTCTCTTTCTCACTCACTCTTTTTCTTTTTCTTTCTCTTTCTCCTCTCTTTCTCTTTCTCACTCACTCTTTTTCTTTCTCTTTCTCCTCTCTTTCTTTCTCTTTCTCCTTCCTTTTCTTTCTCTTTCTCCTTCCTTTTTCCCTCTCCTCCTTTTTTCCTTCTCTCTCTCACTTTCTCTCTCTCTCCTCTCTTTCTTCCTTCCGTCCAGCCCAAGCATTGCCTGACACTGAGAAAAAACACTTGTTCAATTGTGTTTAACAGCATAACTTGTAGCGACTACCAATTTTCTGTTATATCTTTGCCAATGTCAGGGCACCTCGGCGTGATGTAATGGTTAACAAGATTGTCTCGCCAAAACGGTTACGACTGAGTAGTGAGTTTGATTCTCACTGGGTGCCCCCATGCTTTCGGCCTTGTGCCGCATCTAAGCTACGCTTAGGAAAAAAGAGTACCCCTAGGTGGTGTAATGGTTAGCCAGCTTGCCTCGCTAGGACGGTTACGACTAGATAGCGAGTTTGATCCTCACTGGGTGCCCCATACTTTCGGCCTTGGGCCACATCTGAGCTACGCTTGGAAAATTACTATATTTTACCGTGTTGAAGCATTCGTTCAGATTGAATCAGTTTAGCTAAATTCAATAGCCTGTGAATACTTTCTCTGCTAGTCTGGTACAAGGCCTCACCGAATGAGAACCAAATTCGTTAACCTAGCAAACGGCCTACAAGAATATCACTCCAAAACAGAAACTGGAATTAAGAATAGTATTCCTTCTTGAGCATTTGCTCACATCAAAAAGTTTGATAGACTCTATAGGGAAAATATTCTTTGATATAAATATGTGGTGGTGGTTATTATTATTATAATAATTATTATTATTATTACTGTCAGAGTTACCCTTTACAAGGCCCGGAGGCCACTCGAGGTAGAGGGTTACGTTAGGAGGCCATTTGTGTGTATAAGTGAGAGAGATAACGATTAACCCTTGAACAGGTTAAGATTGTAGCGATTGGGGAAACATCCTGTTGGGAGTCGATTCCACAGGGCAGTGGTCCACGAGAAGAAACCGTTCGAGTGGAACTTACTTCTCACCGATGGAATACGGGGGGAATGTGGGCGATTTGCTACTATGTAAGTGGCATGGCGTGTTCTTGCCATGAAGTTTTGCCTTGACGGGATCAGGGACTATAGTTCATCCAAATATTTTCCATGGAAATAGCGGTAAAACAGCGGGAGGCTTGCCACATCCCTCCCGTGGGAGACTGGTTTGAAGGGTGGAGAATAATTCGTCACATCCCTCCCGTGAGAGACTGGGTTTGAAGGGCGGAGAATAATTCGTCACGTCCCACCCGTGGGAGACTGGGTCTGAAAGGCGGAGAATAATTGGTCACGTCCCTCCCGTGGGAGACTGGGTCTGAAGGGCGGAGAATAATTGGTCACGTCCCTCCCGATCATTTTACCTGCCTCAATGTATTGTATTGTACGATCGAAATCATGAATTTATATTCTCTCGTTAGCTTCGGCTCATATTAAAATGTATTTTTAATATCATTTGACAGCACAAAGATGATGCTGTCATACGATGTGGTCATATTCCATTATTGATGTCCGTCCTGGATATGACGATAAACTACATCCGCATCCTGGGTAAGACGATAAACTACATCCGATAGCAAGGCCTTTGACCAGGAGGTTTTGAGGAGCGTGGAACCACCTCTTAATTGCAGGTTTTTCCTGACCCGGGGTGGTAGCACCTGCCAGTCCCAGTTATTGGAATATAGTTACCCCCCCCCCACAAAAGGGGCCAAGACACCATGAAAGTCTAAAATAGGTTTTAATACCAGCAATACATTTTGAATAAAAAAATTACCAGCAATAAAAAATCTTGGTTGGTATACCGTAAAACAAAACGAACCATTACTGATGTTTTTTGTTTGTTTTTTGTTTGTTTTTTGTTTGTTTTGTTGTTTTTTGTTTGTTTTGTTTTGTTTTTTGTTTGTTGTTGTTGTTGTTTTTTGTTCTTTGTTTTTTTTTTTTTTACAATAATGTTCATTATCTGTCAATATTTCTGAGATAAGGTATTATGTACATTATTTACATGCCTTTATCCACAGTGGAAAAAGGCGTTAGTTAGATCCAGTGACAGGACCCAAAGAGTGTGAGTTCAATACCCGGTTAAGGCAGTGGAGAACCTTCAGAGGGAAATTAACAGGCGATAACTGATAACTGACATCCGTTAAACATGTCACGTGGAACTAGAACAGTCTACCCCAGTGAGTGAAATAAAGGGTTCAGTTCGACATTTCAACTACCTGAAGAAGGCCGGAACGTATAACGGCCGAAACGTTGTAATAAATATGGCAACAAAGATGAGAACAATAGTCCGAATAATGTAAATAATAATGTTAATCCTGCAGAAGGTACAGGAGCCACTTAAGACAGATGGTTACAGAGTAAGGTTAGTTGTTTTGGTTTTACGGCACATCAACACGTCTGTGGGTTATTTAATGTCGAAATTTAAATATTTTGAACTCCGTTTTATGGCTTCAACTAAATCTATTTTGAGTGCAATTGTATGCATTCAGCTACTAATAAAATGCATTGTTGGTAATTCCACTATAAAATGTATTGCTGGTAATGTTACTATAAATAGGTATTTTTTGTACTTTCGTCGTCTTTTTTGTTGTTTGGAGGTTCACTATTTGCCCATAGTTGGGACCCTAACAA